CCGCCACCTCCTCCCTGGCCCCTCGTGCCGTGCCTCGTGCCCTCATTGCCTCTTCCTTTATTTGCTACCTACACGACATAAGTATTGTAAGTATTGTTCGGTGGCAAGAAGCCATAGTTGTTTCTTAGATAGACTTAGTACGCAATTTACACGATAAGCTATGCTTAATTTACTTTCGTCAATGTTTTTTTGATATATCCAAGAGCAAAATGCTGCATTCAAAACTCCCCCCTCCACGGCGTACCTTTCTGAAAAAGAAAACATACAAAACTACAGATGTAAGTAAAACACACAACTACATGAGTGGAAAAAACGGAGCCTCACAGCGTCCCTTTCTGAACCCTTAACCCTCACTGTGACGGACATGACCCACAGCTTTCCGAAAGTAGCGTCTTGTCCCGACAGTCAACTCTGGAGTGCTAGTTGAGCATCAGGGGGCTTGGGAAGTAGGTTATAGTTGTAGTCTATAAGTAGAGTTGCACCTCGTAAAACGAAGTAGGGTACTTTCTGACTCTTCTTATAGCCTACTTACTAAGTCCAGACCGCTGAAATCTAAACCAGCCTAGCAGCCTTTAAAGACCCTAAACCTTGAGCCCGAAACCCTAAAGCCGACTCCTTTCAGTCGAGCCTGAATCCTCAAAACCGTAAGCCGTCATTTTTGTTGCGGATCATTGGAACGCCATCTCCTTCCTGTGTACTCCTGACATATCCCAAGTGCTTCAGATGTCTACATAGTTTACATATTTATTGGTATGTACATAATATGTGCCCGCCCGCCTATATATATATACACACAAATATATGTGTGTATTTATATATATATATATCTTTCTTTATTTTTGTATGCTTATGCATAAACACACCTGCCAAAACGCTATTCTATTCATTGAGGCCCCTAGAACCAATCGCAAATATCCCCCAGCAGGCTTTATACCCAAAACCCCTCGCCCCCAAACCCCAGACCACCCAACAGCCGAAATAGCCGAGCCTGCCACAGGCAAGCACGCGCGAAGAGCGGGGAATTCCGGAATAGGCAGGATGTTGGGGGGTTTAATGTCGGAGCCTGCTGAATTTGAAGAGGGTGTGAGAGTACTTGGAGGTTCATGAGTAGTTTTAAGTGGAGTTATAAGCCCCCTAATATAGGTTATAAGTTATAGCAATAGTTACCCTACCCATAACTTACAACTACCCATGAACCATCAAGTATTTGTATCCGTTTAGCAGAAGCAAAACTATGACGACTAAGAGTGTGATATTGCTCAAGCTCCTGGATGTTTCGGGATGTTGTTGGTTTGCGAGTTTGCGACTCTCTTGGGTTTGGGATCGTAGGTGCTTAGATTTAAGGCCTCAGCGGTTTCAAGGATGTTGGAGGTATTGTGGATCTAGAGGCTGAAGGGTTTCAGGGTCGTTCAGCATACAGATAAACCGCTAAACCCTAAATCCCAAACGCAAAGTCTTAAATCAAGCTCTTTCAACAATCCTAGAAAGCCTTCGCTTTCGGGATTCCCATTGTGGAGTCGCTCTGCGGAGCGCCCCGTAATTAATCACGACTCCTCAAGTTACTCAACAGGGGCTTCGAGTTCGGGCGAAGAGCAGTCCCTGAACTACGGAATCGAGGTCGTCAGTAGGTTAGGACTAGGAGGAAGAACGAGTCAAGTATGTATGAAGGGCTAAGGGACTAAACCCTAAACCCTAAACCCTAAACTCAAACCCCTAAACCCTAAACCCTAAACCCTAAACCCCTAAACCCTAAACCCTAAACCCTAAACCCTCAATGGAGATATGAAAAAAAACCAAGCATCCGGACCGTACGTAGATCCCGAGGCTCTGTGGCCTTGGGGAATTCCGGGCCCGCCAAGAGAATCTAGGGTTTAGGATTTAGGGGTTTTGGGTTTAGGGGTTTAAGGGTTCAGGGGTTCTACCAAGGGGTTTTATGGGTTCTGCACACAGAAGCCAACAACTGTTCCTGCGGGTTGCTACCGATGCAAGCACGAATAGCAATGCGTACACATTCGAATGCCCACCCTAGTACACTACGGTATGCTCTGCTATGCTTTCGTCCACGAAACTTGCTGATACTTTGCTACAACGTACTATCAGACACTATACCAAGCTTTACCATACCATACTGTTCTGTACTATACTATGCTATGCTATAACTATGCTATGCTATACTACACTACACAGGCTTATTATGGATGCTTGAATATCCTATACCTGTACTAGCTGTACTGTGATATTCTGTCCTATTTCATGCTGTGCCATGCCATGCTACATTATACTACACTATGCTATGCTACGCTATGCTATGCTATACTAATATGCTGTACTGTACCTTACTATACTGTACTATACTATACCATACTATACTCTACTATACTCTAATATACTAGACTGCTGTATACTACACTCTATACTATGCTATACTATACTGTACTGTACTATACTGTTCAACCCTGCCCTATACTGACTGTAGCATACCCTATACTCTATCCAAGACTTGAGTCCTAAATTCTGGAGTCGGTGTCGAGGCTTTCGGTTGTTTTCAGCCTCGAAATAGGCTCGGAGAGGTGTATGTGAAGAAGGCGTGTTTTTGGTGAGTGTACTTAGAGTTCTACTTGTATCTGACGGATGCTATTGCTGCAAACCTTGCTGCGAATGACCGTTTATTCTCCGCATCGTAAACCCCCCTTGAGTTTCAAGTTTGATAGCCTGAAAACCACGAATTCCTAAGATTTGGCTCCTGCCTGGGAGCATAGTTTATGTTGCTATGTTCTGTCGAAGGATTCACAAACATCGTTGCCGTGAGGACAGTTGCCCTAGTCCGAGAATGATGTTGTTGGGATGATGGGTCTAGCGAGAATCGGGATACCTAGGTGAAGCACTCTTTCCTTATTACTTACGTAGACTCTTATCCGTGAACCACCGAACTTGAGTTCCTTAGCCCAGAAGAGGCAGCTTCAGAAGAGCGCTACCCGGGTGCTTTGCAGCAGCCTCGTTTCTGATGTTGTCATGCCCATCTAATCTAGGTAGGGTTTAGGGTTTTGGGTTTGGGGTTTTGGGACTGAATAACTAAGCTGGTGCCTGAATAGTTCTTACGGATGGCTGCTCTGATCCACGTGGTTGAGGAGTTTGGGCACATGCATGTACTGTTCCCTGTTCCCGAACGACCCAGGAGTTCCAACACCCTATAGCCATTTTGGGCCAAGGTCCTTAACCAGGCCCCGTAGAGGCCCGCAAAGGGCCCGGGCCGGAAAGGGCACTCTTCTCCCATTTTGGACCATACACTCCCGGTTTGGGATTTAGGGTCTGCCCTACGCCCTAAACGCCAAACCTGCCCCCCTCGGGCTCTGGAGCAAGCAAGCAGCGAAAAAGGCCCTTAAAACAAAAAAAATAAGCCAACTTTGCTCCAAAGGTCATGCCCTAAGGTCTGCGTCGTTTCAGCTCTTGGGCCGAAACTGTTCATTCTGTAGGGGCCTTTATTTATAACTACCTCTACTTTTTTGGTGGGTTCCTTATTATAACTATAGTATAATGTACCCCCAAAACCCGATTCTAACTATTAAGGCCTCTACATTACTTGAAGATTGGAGGCGCTAGAACCTGCCCGGCCGAGTTCGTTGTTTCGACCTGCGTAGCATGAAGCTGTAAGGGGTTAAAGCTTGCTTCTTGTTTAGACTAGACCTGCATGAAGCCACAAAGGTGGTTGGGCAACTTGCTTGATGCATCATTCCCTCAGCGCGCTACTTCCGGCACAGAGGAAGAGTACTCACGACTGTAGCAGGCAGACCACGACCGCAATCCACTGTAGACTTGGATCTGCGAGTGTAACCCTCTCGTATACTGGTTTAGGGTTTAGGGTACTTAATATTCTGGGGCACTTTCAGCGCCTTGGCGGTGAAACGGCTCAGAGGTGTTTCCACACCGAAGTGCAGCCATGGCAGTGCCTAGGGGTCCTCGGGGTCAAAGCCGTCTCTGGGCACTTCCGCTGCTTATCCTTTCGCTGCTCTCGCTGCGCTCGCTGCTCGCGAGTGCGACGTGGCTCAGCCTCAGCCAGCCTCCGGCACTCAGCGCACACGGCAGGCGTGGTGTCTTGGCGCTCACCGTGGCAGTGGCCGGCAGAGCGGCCCCGGCACGTGCAGCCACGAGCGTGGATGCAGCCCGCCAGCAGTTGCAGGATGCACAGAAGGCCTTGGACGACCTCCTGGCAGGCTACGAGTCGATCAAGAAGAACAAGAGTGGCGACATCGTTCGGAACGGGCTCAAGGCCAGTACTTCCCCTGTCGCGCAGGTTCAGAAGACTTGCGAGGCAGTGGCCTCATCAGCCAGCGATCCCGGCGTTTTCCAGGATGCTTTGGAAGAGTTCGTGGAGGCCGTGGACAACGCCGACGGCCTTGCATATTCATCTGGCTATGCGAATTCTGGAAACTGGCAGGTGAACAATCCCGCAAACTACCTCGAGCAGGCCAGGTCACAGATCAAGACTGCGGCGAAGGACATTAAAACAATGCTGGAGCTGCTTGCTTAGCTGAGGCTCACTCTCTATGTTGCTGTTGCTCTTCCTTCATCGGCGTGCCTGGAGGTGGAGCCTCCGTCAGCGTGTGCAGGTGTATAATCTTAGGTCCCAGGCACACGACTTTTGGCCTTAGGGGCCGGGTATCTAACCGTTAACCTTCTCGATTGTACATAAACCTTATGATGCTTACCCGTATTTGGGTATAGGTAGCCCGCCGGATATCTGCCTGTTGGGGTGTATGTGTGTGTACCCTTATGTATATAATCGTACACGTATAATCTATATGTGTCTAATATATATATATATACACACATATGTATGTCTATGCATATACAGTTGCATATGTAACCGTACCAGAATCAGAAAGGTTGACCTTTTTGGACCCAGCCCCTAAGATGATGCAACCTGACTGCGCGCCAGCCACGTCTGTGTGCAGGGGGGAATACAAAGAAGCTCCTTATTTGTGGGTTTGGGGTTTAGGGTTCTCGGAGAGCATGCCGCCCAATCCGCGGAATATGATCTTGGGGAGATGTGGAGGTTTAGGAGTTTAGGGTTCATGCCAGGGCCTCCAGGGCACCTGATTTAGCTTGGATTCAGAATTGATTTTAGGGTTTAGGGTGTAGAGTTGATTTTAGGGTCTAGGGTGTAGAGTTGATTTCAGGGGTTAGGGTTTAGAACTGATTTTAGGGTTAGGGTGGATGTTTTAGGGAGGCCCTGGTAGCTGCATGCAGCACTCAGAAGCTGTGCTCCGCTGGATGGTTTCGGGTCTAGCCGTCTAACTCTAAACCCTAAACCCTAAACCCCTCAACCTCCAAACCCTAAACCCTCAAAGCCTAAACCCCTAAACCCTAAACCCCTAAACCCACTAAACCCCTAAACCCCTGAACCCTGAAGAGGAGGCCCAAAAACCTCACCGTTCTCAGAGCTGCCCTCAAAGCCTCAGCAGGGGGCGACGCTCTTCAACTTAGAAAGTTTCAGCAATTTGCATACCTAGTAGTACTTTCCTTTAAAGCCATACTCTAGTTATTCCGCCCGCTATAGTTCTTGCTGCGACTTATATAGTTCGCTTATCAAAGCAAATTCAACCTTTACAGACGCCCATGTAAGAAACCCCTATACTTATACCTTAGGGGTACTTAGAAATAATTTTTAATCTTTGGCTACTATAAACCCTAAGAAGCAGCTACAATTATAATTTTTGCTAGGGGTCTAAGTTCAGTATAGATACCCCTATACCGTTGCCATCGGTTTGCCTTGGCCTCAGGGGTTCCTTTCAAGTGGTTCCTGTACGGGTTCTATAAGGGTGTTCTTATCAGGTTTTTGGTAGGTTTTTCCAATCCAGGCTCATGGGGTGTATTTTGGCATAAAAGAGGTCCCTAATATAGGGGCCTAAATAATTGCCTATACTAGTGTGGGGGTTTCTTTTGATGCTTATAGTACAAGATGCCCCCAAAACCCTATTCTAATTATGAAGGCTCCTACATTACATCGGTATGTTAAGGTCCAAGGTCCCTAAA